TTAGTAAACACCATCCCTTCCCTGATTTAAGCCTATTTACGGGTCATTATGGATTATGTAGTTCATAATGTGAATAGTCGGGATTAATGATGTGGCTAGATTTGGTCTTTCATGTAGTCTGTGATGTTTATTTCAAATATTAGAGACTCAGCCACAGGGCAGATTAATATTAGGGATGCTGCAGCTTCCTTTTGAGTTTTATTTCCCTCCATGGCTCTGATATTGCGCTGTTTTCAGTTGTGGAAGTAGGAGAAACCATCCCAACCTCCTCTTGTGCATAATTGTGTTCCTCCAGCTATATTATTATTATTATTATTAGAAACATAACAAGATTAGTACACAGTGAACAAGATCACTATGCTGGCTGTTGTATTGGATCACACGTTGGACACTACCCAAGTTTCTAGAACTGTGTGATGTATCGGCGACTAATGTGTGCAGATCCGAGTATTATTATTATTGCCTTTTGCAGCTGACAGATGGTAATTTTGTCAGCACCAGTTGGGTTTAAGTGAAGGCCAAGGTCTTCAGGCACTGCACCCAATGTACTGATCACCACTGGGATCACCTTTACTGGCTTGTGCCAGTCTTTGAAGTTCGATCCTCATATCGTGTCGGCTTTTCCAGTTGTTTCTCTTCAATCCTGCTGCTGCCTGGGATTGCAACATCGATGATCTATACTTGTTTTTTTTAACACAATCATGAGGTCAGGGGTATAGTACTCCAAAGCTCTGTTAGTCTGAATTTGGAAGTTAGATACATAACAAGATTACTACACAGCAAACAAGATCACTGCGCTGACTTTTGTATTCCATCATACGTCGGACACTTCTCAACTGTCTAGGATTGTGCGATGTATCGGTGAATAGTGCATGCAGATCCTATTATTATTATTATTATTATTACTACTACTACTACTACTACTACTACTATTGCAACTATCTTCAGATTCTGCCAAAAGTTACAGGATAAGCAATTTGAAAACCTATAGAGGGCCACAGTTGTCCATCGCTGACCTAGAGAAACAAAAGAATGAAAAGGAGAATCTTGCACTCTTATCAGAGCTACAGTTATTTTGAAAAAGTAATTTATGGTACTTACACTTCCAACCCCCTCCTCCCCTAATGACTGAAACACAGTTTGTTTTCTCATTATTCAAAAATTGTTTAAATAAATGGATATTTAGGAAATCAGAATGCTCCTAACTTCTGACTTGTGGGACAAAATATATCTAAGCACAGAGATCAACTATAAGAAATAAATAAATCACAGCTACACCACAAAATAAGTGACATGAATGTATGATGTTACAAGCGTGAAGCAGTATATGTTATTGAAAAAGGAACTAAAAGTAACCTATATGTAACTGGTACTTTCCCCACTTTGGCTCATATGGATGGGATCCATATGAGCCTCAACTTTCTATACCACGCAGCCTTAACTTTCTATACCAGCAGCGTTTTCTTCTATACAGCAGCACTTAAAACTGCAGCTGGTGCATATGGGCCTTTTTTTGCTTGTAGCAGTAGGTATCCAATATCTCCTTGCATAATGACCATCCCGTATATAAATAAAATTAGAAGACACCAGAGGATGTATCCAGTCAGTGGTCAGCAAAGACCCATGCAGCTACACAACTGCAGCTGGTGCAAGCAGGCCTTTTGCTGCTTTCTTAACACTCAGAGGTGGGGGAGGTAGGATGCCCCATGCCTTCAAACCTGTGCTGTGCAATTAGCACCAGTGGAAACTCACCAATGATCTGCTGGTGGAGATTTCGATTCCAGAGGCATGATACAGTATCTCAGCCTATAGGTTCTGCTACTCAGAGCCAGGGGAAGAAGCATGGGTTGTACAAATGGAATTATCTTAATACAGTAGCACTAAAATCAGTGAAAAATCAAAGCTTTTTTAGTCCTTGAACTGGTCTTTCCTTTCCTGTGCCATTGAGGAGCTATGGCATTCTGCTTCTGTTACTGCTCCATTGAAGGATCTTGTCTGCATGTAGAAGTCCACTTTATACTGAACATTCTGGAAGTCCCCAAGTTACAAATGTCAGACTTATAAATGACTCACAGTTAAGGACGGGAGTGAGACAACAGGAAGTGAGAGAAATCTACACCTTGAAGGGAAATTCACTCCTGAAAGAGTTATCCTGGGGAAAAGGTGTCTCCACTGAAACTTTATCACCAATCCTTGTTTCCACAAGCCAAATTTTTCAAACTCACAATTATCACAGGCACAGAATGAGGTGAAATCTTCTGAACAGGGGCACAGACAGCAAAACAAACACCACGGGGGTGTTAAATCCTTCCCAATGCTATCCGTATGTATGTATCTATGTATATGTGTGAATTGCAGCACTTTAAAATGTACCTGTTCTGATTTACATGCAAATTCTACTTAAGAACAAACCTACAGAACCTATCTTGATTATAACTTGACTACCTGTAGTGTGTTCATTCCTGGAGAACTCGGGACTCCTTGGTGTTCATTGGTTGGACTTGCTTTCCTTGATAGTGAAAACCTTTTCATATAGAAAGGTATTTGGCAGGCCTTTCTATAGATTGGCAATACTATCCAGTACCTGTCAATGGCAGCAGAGTCTTGGGTGGTCATACAGTACATTACATCTATATGCATGTGTTACACACATATACAAACAATGATTTCCTGATATTATGGCCCAGTTGGGGAAAATGAGACACATTGATTAGATGCTACTTCTTTCGAAGTTATTCAATTCAGTACCATCAGCCATTCTAATATGTTATCTCTAGGTCCTTCAGTGAAACCTAGTCCATTGGAAGTTGACCACAGTCAGACTGGAGGAACTAGGATTCCTAGAGAAGTATTCTCCAAATTTTTTAAAAAATGCAATTTCCTACATTTGTGAGGGTCCTTCCCTCTAACCCCAACAAATGTGAAGGGGCTACTAGAATTAACTCCAATTTTCTAGAACACAAGTGTCTACCTGTTCTCCATATTCACCTCTCATAGGGAGGGAAGCTATCATAATCTCCTCCTTAGACATAACTTCATTTTAGATAACTCTATTTTTGAGACTTCAGGTTTTACAGCATGAAATTTCCAACTTTGTTTTTACTTAACCAAAAATTAGATATAGACTAGAAAACGTTAGGCATATTGTAATTCTACTGCATTAAAGCACACTAAAGAACTCAGCATTATTGCAAATTGCTGATATATCTAGAGCAATGATTCTGGGGACTCTCCACTGTGCCATGGAAACTCACTAAATGAGCATTGGGGAAATCACTCTCTCACTCTCAGAAAAATCCCATGACAAAGTCACCATATTCAGAAATGACTTGAAGGTACAACAATAATGCATCACATTGCTGATTACAAAGAAGATGTATGTTTTGAAATCCAGTCCAAGACAATTTAAGAGTTATCATATTCAGTTCGACAGTATTTTTTCTATAAAAACTATACACTACAGTGATGTCTAGTTTCATAATATAAAATATCCTGTAAAAGTACTGTCCCTTCAATGTACAAGACTACAGATTAACATATGTGCATTTTAAAAGGTACAATAAGGCAAGTATTTTCTGAGACTTAATTGCTGTATGAAAAGAAATTTGCATACCTAGATGTTACATCAATTTGGATAATTCTGAATGTACAGTTAAGTCAAGAGTGTCTGGAAAGTTGTTTTACTTTTGATCCAGGACCATAAAGCACTTAAATTGAAATTCTTCACAGTCAGTTGTGGAACTAGAATTGTAGGTTCCTCATGGGAGTTGCCTTGGGTCTCATATTGGGAGGCAGGCAGAATATAAATACATACATTTTGACCTGAAGCTAACTTATTAATGATTTTGGACATTCACTCTTAAAAGATTGTAAAGCCATGCTCATAGTGGACTGTATACTGAGGGTTCATTTTAAATCAAAATATTTGGCAACTACTAGAATAATGGAACTTTGTAAAAACTGTACACTAGTAGTTGCTGAAGATTTCAATTTTTATGAAGTACCATTATTATATTTCTAGAACATCTTTAAATAATAACACCTTATCTCTTGGTTTGGGAGTGAGACTTTATGACTAGTAATTAATTTAATATTTGAGCATTATAATAAAATGTATAAATATTATCCTTTGTCTTCTGGAACAATTGAGTGTTCAGCCTATTTCTTTGCCATTCCAAAATGAAACTGTGCCAGCACTGGGTTTCAGAGTCTAAATACAGAATGAAAGTCTGACTTTCATTCTGTATCCACAAAATCCACAAAAGGATACAAGAATCTGAGGATCATTTAGAAAATTTTATCCTTACTAGTTTGCATTGGCACTATCTATATATTAGTACTTAACATGAAAACTTTTGTACATCCTCAGAATTACCCAAATTAGCAGCAACGAAAATGCCTCTGCAGATTCCTTATGTCATTAGGTGTAGCTAGATATTATTCTACCCAAGTGAGTGGGCATGAAAAGCTTCAAGTGACTGTCACTTGATAAAGTCCTCAGTTTTCACAGCATTCAAAGCTGTTATTGACACACTTAGACATAACATATTTCCGACATGTCTGAAATTTCAATTATATCCCAACTCTTAATGAATCTGCTGAATCATGAATTGGTATAATCTAATGTTACAACAACACCTAACATCTCATTCTGCTTCAATGTCCACAACACTAAAGCACTAAAGGATGTTCTGCTAGAATACCTGAAAACAAAGTACTATCTGAATTATGCAGACAGTATCACACTTGGATATTAAAAAACTCTTAATAGTTGTGCAAGTGGAAACAAATACAGAATTATGTAAAACTGACACTATAATTGTCATTACAGCCTAAATACCCATCTTTTTGTTTTAAAAAAACCCCAACCTAACAAAACAATATAATACATGAAATAGATTTCCACAATTTTTTTTTTTTTTTGCAAAAGCACATCATCTTCTTTCCCCATTTTAAATAAGTATCAATAGTAGGGAAAGAAGGGAAGCATTAAAAACCAGTCTGTCTCACACAGTTTATTTAACAATAGGTAATAAGAAATCAATTAACAGTCTATACAGTGATCGAAAGTTCATATTTATAAGTAATCAACTTTAATTGCATGATTTACAACATTTTGAGGGTTTTTTGCTTTCTATTTTCAAGTTTTACAGAAAATGGAAGAGGAGGAAAAGGGAGGGGAGGGAAAGAGAAAGCAAGCATAAAGAAGAAACCCCAGGGATTTTCTCTCAGGTTAAAATTATACCCTTGGAATGGTTTCTTACCCTCTTTATTTTTCTTTTGTTAGATGTAAAAATAACAAAAAATTCTTTCAAGAAAACAAACCACAATATATATACTACATCCATTTGGCAGCTGCCCCCGTGTATTTGCAAAAAAGTTGTTTTCTCTCTACATGTACAAATTTTAATACTTGAAGTTTAAGCTCAGACTCTGGTATAGAAAATTCTTGGAGGACAAAAGTAGACTTCAGGAGGGAGACCGGGTTACTTAATAATTTTACAGTTTTTAAAAGAATTGACATCTTTCCAACCAAAGAGGAAAAAATGGTATTTATCTTTAATATATATTTATATATATATATATGCACTGTATTTTTAAAGCAACATTCACCCTTTTTGTCCTCCAGTTGTAGGCAATGTTCTATTTTTGTTTTTGTTTCATTTTTGTTTTTTTGCAGTAGACATGAGGAAAAACAGAATAGGGGAAAAAGTTAACCATCTGCTTCAGTAAATTATAACTATCAATATTACATATTTTCATTAATTTAAAAAAAATAAAACCTAATGGAGGCTAGAGAAGGAAGTTATTTAGTCAGCAGCCAAATAACTGCCCCCCTCCCAAGCACCTCCCCAACGCACGCGAAGGGAAAACAAAAACAAGAAAAAGGACTGGTTATGAGCCCAGCCATAACAAAAATATATTTTCTTTGTATTCTATTGTCCCTCAGGTTCATTTAGTTGGTTTTGTAGTTTTAAAACCACAAACTACTGCTGCAGAATTCAGATGTATTCCAGGGAAAAATGTTCTGCTAAGAAAGATTAAAAAAAATTGTCTTCAGTACAAAAAGTCTTGAGAAAATAAGTTTTTTTTTTGCTCCCAAAATGCTACAATGTGTTTTAGTGTATGTCTAGTGTACTCTGTGAAAGGTTTGAGTTTAAGTCTGAATTATCTGAGCTGAGTCCCAGTTCTGTGGCACTTGCACCATGGAGACCCGCCATGCCTGGATTATTTGCAAGCTGAGAAAGCATTGCACTCTGGTCCGGGCTGGCAAAGTGCCCTTGATCCATGGGATTAGCCTGGGCAGCTACCAGTCCTGGATGTGGGGAGCTGGTCTGTGGGGAGACGTGGTGGGGAGAAGGCTGTGGCTGCATCCGAGGGGAGGGACTGGAGTGGGGAGGCTGGGACTGGGGCCGTGGTGAGGGGACAGGCTGTGGCGAACGCACTTGGTTGGTGAGTGACGATGGGATCTGCTGGCCTTGTAAGTGTGGGGACTGGGCCTGGTTTGGGAGCATGTGTTGCTGGGGACTCATGGGATTGGGCTGAGCTGGTGATCCCATCTGCTGCTGGAGTAGTCGCTGCTGGAAAGCTTGCTGCAGGCTCGATCCTGTTTCTGCGCTCATTGCTTGTGGAAGCTGGCTCATTTGTCCCATGTTTCCTTGCTGCAGTTGCTGCATGTGGTGTTGCATCCTCTGCTGCTGTTGTTGGGGGTACCCGACTCCCTGCGGCTGTTGGAACTGGTTATGGTTGGCCATGCCAGGACCCAACCCAGGGCCTGCGCCTTGTTGCTGTTGCTGCTGTTGCTGCTGACGTTGCTGCTCCATCATTTGATGCCGCCTCATTAGGAGATCCCGGAACTGCATGTTCATTGGCTGTGCCTGAGGATTCATTCCACCCATAGCCTGCTGGGGTGGAGGCTGCTGAGGTGGTGACTGCTGGGGCATGCTGGGCCTCTGAATACCCACTTGCATTGGATTCATGTTTTGCATGGCTGGATTTGGGTGCACACCTTGCTGCCCTGGCATAGCCTGTTGCTGCTGCAGCCCTGGCTGCCCCTGAGGCATTCCAGGTTGCCCTTGCATGCCCTGTGGATTCTGGTTCCCAGCATACTTGGCAGCCCGCTGCTTGATGAAAGCAGCTAAAAGTTGAGGATTGGAATGCAGGATGTTAAGCACCTGCTGCTGCTGCATGGGAGAGCTGGGAGACCTGAGAGTCCGCAGCAGGTTTTGTAAGGCTGCCTGGGGCAGAGGACTTGCTTTCGACTGAGCTGCACCTGGTACTTGACCCATTCCTGGCTGTGGGGACATATTGATCGGCTGCCCAGGCTGGGCCATTGACATCATCGATTGTCTCTGCATTCCCTGCTGCAGCTGCTGAGGTTGAGGCAACCCTCCCTGGGCCCAAGCTGGCTGCTGCTGAATTCCCGTTGGTCCCATGCCTTGATCAATGTGGCCACCGGGACCCCTGGCCATCTGAGGTGGTGTAACACTCATCGGCTGTATTGGATTCATTTGAGCCATCTGGTTTGGGTGTTGAATTGGCCTCTGGAAGATAGGACCATGAGCCATCTGCCGCTGGTGATCTGCTACTCGTTGTATCTGCATGGCTATTTCTACCGCAGCTGCAGGAGGACCCTGGATAGGTGGCTGAGCAGTCTGAGGAGTTGTCGGAGGAGTTACCTGGTCACCAGCTTTTCCTTGAGACACAGTTCCAGGAGGTTGAATTCTTGAAATATTAAATGGAGACATGTTACTTGGAGGCTGCGGCTGTGGCTGTGAGGCAGGCTGGGGTGGAGGCTGTGGCTGCGGGGTCTGAGGGGTTGGTGGCTGCTGTCCTGTAGGAGTCGTTGGTGTAGCTGGTGTTGGTGAAGGCAACCCCTGCGGCTGGCCTACTATGCCGGTCCTCTGCATGCTTGCCATCCTCCTGCGGAGCATCTGAGCTTGCTGCAAACGGTGCTGAAGCTGTTGCTGGCGAAGCTTGTGTTTGATGTTGAGGCAGAAGGGCACTGGGCACTTGTTCTCCTGGCAGTGCTTAGCATGGTAGCAGCAAAGGGCAATAAGCTGCTTGCAAATTGGGCACCCTCCATTCGTTTTGCGCTTGCAGCCTTTAGTGTGTTGCACAACCCTCTTCATCTTCTGACAGGACGGCAGTGAGCAGTTGGCATTGCGACACTGGCAGGCATGGACCAGAGACTGGATACAGCGTTGGATGCTCAGGCGGCGGGAATCCCCGGGGCTCTGTGTGGTGGCTGTCTGTTGGTTGTTGCTCTCATCATCAATACCAAGACCCAGTTTCTCCATCTTGTGCTCATGATTTTTAGTGTTATAGCAGGTGATGCAGAGGTCATAATCCTAAAAACAGAGATGATTAATCAGAAAACTGTCCAGTATCAATGCACAGCTTTTATCAGCAGACAACAATGGTTGCTATAACCCAGTTTTGATATTAGGCCATTTCAATCAGAAAATTAAGAATATTTCAGATAACAAAATGGCTGAAATATCTGGAATTAGAAATTATTTTACTTGATGTAAGCATCTATGTCCAGAGACAACAGAAAATACGATCTGATCACTGTAGAATTATAACAGTTTGATACCATTTAAACTGCCTTGTCTCATGGTTATGGACTCCTGAGATTTATAGTTTTGTGATATATTAGCCTTCTGTTGCAAAGTTCTGATGCCACACCAAATTACAAATTCCAGAATACTGTAAAATAGAGCAATGGCAGTTGAAGCAGTGTCAGACTGCTGTCATTCTGCAGTATAGATAACACTCCAAATGGAAGAATATATCATTATTACTATACAATGATCAAAGGAAAGTAGTACAAAACAGGGTTAATATAAAGAGCAATACAAGCGGATATCTACTATTTATTCCACGAAAAGGCAGTTTAGCAGTAATCTCACATTTGTCATTAAACAGGCATTGCTATGGAAAGGAAAAGAGTAAACACCTGGGTAGAAAAAGAGCTTGGAAATGTTATGCTTTTTGAAGTACACAACTCAATCTCCCAGCTAACTTGATGACAGGCCACATTAAACACTTGAAGACTAAAGAACCTTCAACACTTTCAATACAGGCCAGACGTACCTCACAGACTGTGCAATGCCATCTTGTCTCCACATGGTGCTTGCACTCATTGCAGGTATAAACAAATCGGTCCTGACTCTGTGTGTGCAGCTCTACCAGCATACACATAGTTGACCACATTGCTCTTCGTAGTGAAGAAAACTCAAGGTGTTTGTCTCTAGCAAGGGTGAGGAAGGCATCACGCCCATCCATTAAGTCACATGGAATAAGTGGGTCCGGTTCAATAATGGGAGGCAGTGAATTGGCTTGAGGGCCAGCAATGAGACGGATCACAAAGAATACCTGAAAAAGAAAGGAGCCATTTGAGATTCTATTCTTTGGATGGGCAGGGCAATACTTTCACCCTCAGCTATATGATACTTGCTGTTTTAGAGACAGGAACTTCAGTATGAAATGTCTGGAAGAAGTCAATAATGTAAGGATGGAAAACAGATCACAAAAGATTTGCATTTTGTTGAAAATTTGAGGAATGACCTCATAACTAGGAGCAAAACACCTTTGTTTATTAACTGAATCCTGAAATGTGTAATCTTAATAATCCAGCCACAAACAACAGCAAAAAAGTATGACTGATAGAGGCACAAGTAAAATTAGTATGGTTTTGTGTTACAGGGTGCTTGAAATGGGGAGATGCCCATTAACAATATTTTGTGTTGGCTGTGTGGGGGTAGGGAGAATGTACTCTAGTCCAATACCTAGTCAGTATATTTGATTTAAAATTTCATAGCCGTATTTTAAATAAAACAAGGGTTTTACTTCAAGTATTAGAACAAAATGAAGTCGGGTTATTTAACCACTCTAGTGACTCTACAACCAAAGCAATGCCCCCATGTGATCATAAGTCTATGCTATCCTTGACTATTTTTCCTAAACCATTACCGTAACCTTTTTCTCTCATTTCTCCTGCTCTATTTATTTAAATTGTAAACTGATGAATATAGTTTACACTGTTCATGTCACACAATACCCCAGAATTTGGCAAACATATTCCTGTTTTAAATTTACAAAAGACAGGTCTTTAACAGCCACATAAATTCCTTTTATTCCTTCAATTCTCCAGGGAATCTGATTGTTTTAATTTTAACTTATTTAACATAAATGGAAACATATGTGCTACTTGTTATTTTCAAAATCTGTCAAAGAGCATCTTTCCCCTCACTCTGTCTGCATATGTATATGTGTAGTCTATTGCTCATTAAAAATTATATTCACTGAACTTTCAGATCACTGGTTTGAATTAGTAATGGATTCAATTTGTCTAGATGCACATTAGAAGAGAATTCATATTTTTCCATCAGCTCCACTCAGATTGTGTGTGCTGCATTTATTTTAGATTTGTAACATGTTACCCTTTCCCAAAACAGCCACTGAAACTTTTTTTCATTTGGTCTTACCTCCTTGTGCTTCTCCATAGTGGCATACAGTTTCTGGGAAAGGTCATTGGAGACATTGGGCATTCCAGGCTTCTTTTTATTTCCACGGCTCAAGCTACTCTTATTTTTACTAGTCTTTTTGTTATTCTTCTTTTTGGCATTTTTGCTATCTCCTTTGCTAACCTGGAAGAGAATCAAGAATTCAGTCAAATGTGAAAATAGAAACATACAGGAGTTTACATTATCTTAAATGACTATACTATCAAACAGAGGGAACATAACAAAACATCTGTTAGTGCAACAGCCCCAAAATCCACTGAGAAAAGAGCCCAATAAGCCAAATGGAACCAAACAAGGGCAAAGATTGGGACATGGAACATCATCTGGGACATTTGACAAGCAATTCCTCCCTACAGTCATGACTGGGGAATGCAAATGGGAAAGTGCTACTACACCCATGTCTTGCTAATGGGTTTTCTAAAGTCACGTGGATAGATGTCCGTGTTAACAGAACATTGGATCTATTATTGCTTCGCTCCAGCAACACTTTTCTTATGTTCTTAATGTAAGTAACATATCTTTGGATTTAGTCCTTTGCTTTGTCTTATTAGACAACTTAGAAATACTTAGTGATTCTGGAAAGTGGGACTTTTTGTTTTTCATGCAGTTTCCTAATTTTACCAAAGAAAGGATACCAATAGCTAGCATAAGATATTTCCTTACATCAGTGCTCTCATTGCTAGTGTTCTCTTCTCTCTTCCGCTCCTCCTCCTCTTGTTCTAGCTCCTTAATGCTTTCTTCTAGAACATTTGGCCAGAAATCCCCCTCAAAGTAAGGCAGTTCTTTTGCACTTGTTAGACGGTCTTCTGTTGCCTGCTTAAAAATATCCTGCAACACAAAATGATTGATCAGTACAAGACATACAAAAGACAATACCAAGCACAGAAACATTCTGAGGCATACAGTTGGCCCTCCATATCCACAGGTTTTGGAGCCATGAATTCAACCAACCATGGCTCTAAACTATTCCACAAGGAAATTTCAGAAACATTTATTTTGCTGTGCACCAAACCCTTCACTGATGTTCAGGTGCTACCCTGCTTTAGCCTCCTGCTATTTCACAGATTCTCAGGGTCTCTCTAGGACTCACTTGAGTTGTTCTGTTTTATATATGGAACACCATTTTACTATGATGTGGTATATAATGGGACTAAAGCATCCATGGATTTTAGTATGCCCATGGAGAGTGTTGGGAATTGAACTTCAGGAGATGATGTGTATGTGTAAAATTCCAGCTGTTTTCTTATGCACTCCACATTAAAGAACAACTAGTTTTTCCAAATTGTTGTTCCCTCTATACTAGTGAAAACAGTTTTGGGAGCCTCTAATTGGGAAGCATTTTATGCTTCAAGAAAAGAGGAGATTTGAAGAGGGAATTATATCTAGCCTTCCCATTTTGTTTCGACTATACTCCAAATTCTTAACCCATCATAAATGACTTTCCAAACTGGAACTTAATCCTCAGTCAGAAAGTTTTCCTCTCCCTGGCTTACAATTTGTTTTGAGGTTTTTAATAGTGGGGCTATGGGAAAGTTACATTTTTTCTGTCTTGCAAACTATCTTGATAATGTCTTACTTCTATACTGGGAAAAAAGAGGGATAAAGTAAATAAACTAACAATAACTTTTCAAATATTAAATTTTAAGTAATACTTATACAAATGATGATATCAAAAACATTTCCAATTTTTTGGAAATAAACCTATTCCACTATGAAGAGGGTATAAGGACCAAAAGGGATACTATGTTCAATTCACAACTAACCTTATAATCATGGACTATGCGCTCTGACACAGATTTATCCAGCATCTTTTTGTACCACTCCTGCAGCCGTTTCGGTTTGGGTATCTTTTGGTCAGGTGGATGACAATGGAAAATGTAATCATCTCCTTCACTAGGTGGGCAGGCCCAGATATGTCCAGTTGTATACCTAATAGTGTTTAAAGAAAACAAGACAATTATTAGCACCAGTAGGAATGCTACCTCACTGAGTTGCTAGCTTTTCAGGAGCAAGATTTCTTTTTTTGCAATAGGTCTGGGAAAACTGAACTCCCACTAAAAAACTAGTTGTTTCTCCCCTCAAACCAGAAGAACTCAGATACCTATTTCTGGACACACACACATCAATTGCAAAAGTAATCTTTTATAAAACAAGATCTCTTGGCTTGCTTTAAATAGAAATGGCTGGTTCTGGAGGAGTCCAGAAATATAATTATCCTTTAAAAATAATAGAAAAACATACTGTTTTGAAGGCAGCAGCAGTCTAAGCGCTGCAAAAATGGGTGGGAGGGTGCATGCAACCTGCATGTTGCTCACTCTTATTGTACAACAACTAGCACAATTAGAGGTAACATCCCAATGTTTAATCCAAGGACTTTAGCTACTTCAGATACCTTCAAATGATTCACTTGGTTTCTATGACAGCAGTCAGAACAACTACTCACTCTGCTGACAAGATTACATTTGTAAGTTAGTAGGTTGGGAACTGTTCCTCTGCTTTAATACCATCGGTGTAGTCACTACATAATGGATAATTTTCCCCTCAAAGATGTACTCTACAGGTGCAACAAGTAATCTTACCTTGAAGTTCTTGCTCTGCATTTCTGTTACACTAAAATGCAACATCTTCAATCAATTATGACATTACAGACACTATGAAATAAGATAAACTTACCCCAACTTCTTAACATACTCTAGGTATCCTATTAGTATTTCATGATATACAGCAGTCCTCAAGCATTTAGGGCGGAAGAAATGAACACTGTCAAGGTACGATATGTATACTCGCCTAGATAAAAGAACAGAGAAAGCTTCTAAGTTTCAGCTGTCACCATTTTGCAATGTTCAAACATTTTTATATTCAATTTTTTATATTTCAAGTATGAAGTCAAAAAAGTACTATTTGTGTTAAGGTGAAATTAACCCTTGAGGAACGTGCTCTCTTTTGTATTTTTTCCTTTTGTTTGGCACTAAGCAAGAAGCTGATTGCCTACTCAAGTCAATGCTTTATACATTTGAATTGGTCTTTTGAGCTTTTGTGGGTTTCTCATAAATTTGCAAATTTGTAGCTGCCTCTACTACTGGTCTCCAGACCTTCCTCCTACTGTATCCTAGGACGATGACATTGATGCAGTGTAGTCATCCTCTGCCTCCTTTTCTGCCATCAGCCCCTGCAGTCCATGGTGCCTCTGATCTCTTGAACTCCATCTGGCAATGTTAAACCAAGGCCAGTTTTAAAAAAAAGGGGGGGGGGGGTATGAGGGAGAAAGAGTAATGGAATCTAGTAGTGTCGATGCTTTTGAAATCTCTTCCTTCTTTCCCACTTGGTCCCCATCCCTCTCTATCCAGCTGGCCTCAGCTTAAGATTGTGTGTATGTGTCTGTGGCGAAGGGCTAGTTGATATTGCCATGAAAGTTGGAGACCTACTGAATGTATAGCAATCTCGCTTCTCAAAATACAGCTGACCTGAACACAAAGAAAAATCATGGTTGAGATTTAGGAGAGTGAAACTGCAAAAGAACTGTTTTGTCTGATCTAATAGCTTGCATTTGGATTTGCAACATGGATAAAACTGCTTTCCAATACTGGTTTGTAAATCAGTGCTAACCGTATGTTCCAGTCTCGACAAAATGCAAAACTATGACTTGCCTGAAACAAGAAAGGTAACTGCACAAGCAGAAGAGAAGAAGGAATGTGCAATGCCAGATAATTTGGACTCCTTCAGAATTCATGTCAAACCATGGATGATGTTTGGACCAAACTTACAGACATGATGAAAGAAATGATTTCTCTAGTAACCAAGTCTTACAAAATGGCTACTCTCAGATAAGCAATTCTTAAATATAAATTCCTATTAATCTGTTCAAGTATAAAAACAAAGGAAGGGAGTGTAACCTCATCAAGACAAACCAAATTATTTATTTTAGCATGAATTTCCATGGATTAAAATCCCATTTATCTGAATGTGTGGTCAAGGGCCCTCAAGAACTTTGGCCACTTTGGATTCCTTGGTTGCAGGTTTTCAGCAAATGTCTACATGCTCTAGTTGAGTCTTTTTAAGAAGGAAAAAGGAAGAGAGGAGACAGGATCGTTCTTCAGGTGTTCCTGTGAAGCTTTGCTGCCAATTATCAGTAGGAACCTGTCTCTTCTCTGCCTTTCTCAAGGATAAGGGATCACAAAGACTTCCTCAGCTGTTAATATGGAAGCACTTACTTCTATTGTGATGATGGGAAAACAAACCTGGTGACCAACATGTTTGGCTAGGCCACCAAGGCCAGCCAAATAATGCACAGTTCCCTCAAGAGAAGAATATAAAGGTACAAGCACCTCGTATAAACCATTTTTGAAAGAAACAGGAGACACCAAAGTATTTTATTGTAAGTAGACAGAACCCAGATATAATACACAATTAAATGGTGCGTTCCACAAAATCAGACAGTAAAGTCTTGCCTTCAATAATAAATCTGACAGATGTAGTTGAAATGAGCTGACATATTCATGCGTTTCTTAGAAGCCTGAAATCTTTACAAAGCAAAAATATACTATTAAAAGAATAAAAGTTATCAAAATGTAGTTCCTTACCTCTGGTTGGGTTGAGGGCAGTCTGACCCATATTCCTGAACGTGCATTCCAAAAAAGCACAAATCTACACCATCAATCTCTTCAAAAGCAAAGAGGGCTTTTGTTCGATAAGGGAACTGTTCTGCCATCTCTCCGCTATCTACAAACCTGCAAAATAGAAAATGACAAAATTTTGAACTCTTTTAGAAAGCAAACATGATACAATTAAAAAAAACACATTTTTAAAAAGCGTCACAGAATTTTGAAATGGGTATTACCTCACAGATAATGTTTTAACAACTATTTTATATTTTAATCATTTATTGTTACAACTCTGATGGTTCTACTATTTGTTAAAATGTGCAACACCTTGTTTTGACTGCAAAGTGGAATATAAAAAAGACAAAAATGAAGAAAACCGTAGCTGAATGTACAGATATGGAGTACCCTGTTAATTTCCTTGATGTGCTTATGTTTAGCCACTCTCACTGCCTAGCCTTTCACAAAGCTTTTCATTAGATCTCATAATTAATATGCTAAATCAGTTGCGATGTGACCATTTCAGACTTTTATTATCTCAAGTAAATGTAATTTATTTATACTCAAAGGAAAGGGAACGGATAACATTTTTGCATTAAAAAGATATAGAGCAACATAAAAGTTGAAACATTGTTTTCTCTTTCATTTGCTAGGAAGGATAGAATAATATCTGATACTAAACATTAATAGTGAACTAAATCATCTTATCATAAGCACATCTGATCAGTTCAACTTACTTTCAGAATCTACCAAAAGTAGGAAATTATTCAAAAGAGAAAAAACAGCTTTGGGATACTCCAGGATTTTTCTCTGAACCTGAAGATCTAGGTTTCAGAAGGGACAAAGCATGCTTTTGCACAGTTAAAGCTAGTTCGCTAACTTTACCTGTTCCTGGAGAAAGCGGATCTGACCACAATGATACATGCCTTGGTTACATCCCGGTCGGACTTCTGTAATGCGCTCTACGTGGGGCTGCCTTGAGTACTCAGAAACTTCAGTTGGTCCAAAGAGTGGCAGCCAGGTTATCAATTTAGAATAGCTGCAGGGAGCATACAACTCCCTTGTTGCAACAGCTCTATTGGTTGCTAATTTCCGCTGGTTTTGACCTATAAAGCTCTATACAGCTTGGTTCCAGGTTATTTGAAAGACCATATCTTTCCTTATTAACCTTTTAGAATACTACAATCATCTACAGAGGACCTTCGCTTCATTGCACCACCCTCTGTAGTTTGTTTAGTGGGAACAAGGGTCTGGGTGGCTGTCCCCAGACTCTGGCACTCCCTGAGGAGACCAGGATGGCCCCATCCCTGCTTGCAGGCAGGTAAAAACATTCCTCTGCAACTAGGCATTTATGGGTATAAAGTTCTAGTGCATTTTAATATTCAGTGGTTTTAATGACACAAATTGTTTATTTTTATGCTTATATTTTAGTGCATTATTATAATTATTTTTGTGTATTTATACCCCGCTTCTTCTCTGCCAAAAATACAAAGCATAAATCAAAACATTTACATTGTTTTATATCGATTGCTAGCTGTCTTTAGTCTCCATATTGGGAGAAAGGCAGATAAAAATAAAATAAATTGAAATGAAGATAAAGAGATATTATTGATTAAAACAATACTACCAATGCTCTTATTATCAATAAAAAATAAATAAATAATTTGCATTGTCTAAACATTAAAACACAATGATTCAAAGGAATGTATTACACTGGTTTAAGTCTTAAAATTAGTAATCATACCTTGCTTTCATTCCTGGCTTAACTTCTACAGTTTTTTCTGAAGTATGAACCACTCTAACAATGACTTCGCCTGACTCAGGATGATTTTGTCTTCTCAGGAACTCATTCACTCTGTTCTCCAAGAATGTACCAAGTCTTGTAGTTGGCAACCCTGTATAAAAAAGCATTAATATACAGTTCAATAAATAACCCAGGATCAGAATAGCCTATGTAAGTATACCCTTAACTCACAACCTCAACCATTAAAATGTGCATCCATTCGCTATTAGTTATCAACTTCTGACCCTCAGTGTCTCAATTAAGGGCTGAGAAGTGATCTATTATTGAAATACCACTATTCAATAAAAGTGGCACACTCAATATTATGTAAATGTCCAATATGCTCACTCGCATATTTAGCTTTGTCCTAAAGGAAGAAAGGTAAAATTTACAAGCCTAAAGCACACTTTTGCAGTTGCCAAAAGTGGGTAGCCTATGTCTCTGGGAAATGCACAAGCAGGGAATAAAAGCAAGAGTCCTCTCATGGTCTCTCTAAGACCGCCAGACCTATTCACCATGACAGTAAGACTTTTCTTTGAGCTAACAGACTACCTAGTGGAAGAAAAGATACTGGTAGACATCTCCACAAAAACACTTTACATAGTAAAATTTTAAAAGGTAGATTCTGTCCTTAGGAATTGAGAAAGGAATTTAAACTCAAACTACACTCAAGAAAGTAGCTTCTCCAGCCTGGTTCTCAATGATTCCAATAAATCCAGGAAGCTTTAATTATGGAAAAAAGCAAACAGATGTTGTAGCTCATCAATCTCATATGGTGGGTTTGTTCCCTTTTTAGAAATATGGAATTGAAGAATAAGACTTCTGAATAGTTTTAATGTTTTCCACATTTCAAGGATGTATGGAAAACCGGGCCTCCTAATTACACCTTGTCAGTACAAGTTACCAAGGAGTAACCAACAACCATGGATTTGTATGTTAGTCCCTGTTTTTTAAATATAAAATAATCAAATATAAAATAATCAGTTTATACCAAAACAGAATATGGTCCTGAAAGGACAATGTTATTGGAAATGTGCTAGTAGTATAAATGGAGCTTCCCTGATCAACAGAATATTCTTCAATGCAATAATTTCTACAGAGTAAACATCTTAAGGGAAAGGAGCAGGTAGTTCACATTATCTATCCTGTGTCAATCAGGCTGTAGTCCTGAACGTGTTACGTGGCATTAAAATCAAATGAATTTAAAGGACATTACTGCCAATTGTGCAAAACACACCAACCTGTGAACTTAATCAAATGGTCAACAAAGGACAAATGTTCCTATAGTCTTTCAGATATTGACATCAGAGAAAGGGTCTTCTGAATTGCTCCATCCAAGCTCATTCCAAAAGGAAAATCACTTTTTAGAAACATGCATATTTTATTTTACGGTTTAAATTCGACAGGAAACTGTATTACTTGGCTAGACTGGGCATGGCCAAACTTCGTCCCTCCAGGTGTTCTGGGTTTCAACTCCAGTAGGCCGTTAGGAATTGTGGGAGTTGAAGTAGTTGAAAACACCAGGGCCGAAGTTTGCCCATGCCTGGGCTAGAGTGAACATTTGTTTGCCATTTCTGTAGTTTAATTTTTATAAGACATTTCATGATGTTTTTATCATAGCACTGCAAAGTCAGAATAACCAAGTCATGAAAGCCATCACTTACGTCTAGCACAGAATTTATTCTCTCTTCGGGTTCGCCCACTTTTCTTTAAGCAACCATCACAAACAAAGCTAAAAAATAAATACATAATTGGAATTACTAATCCAAATATGTTTTGCCAAGTCTGACTAGTATTTTAACAAGAACCCAATAGTGATTTCAGATTTTTGTTTAAACAAATGTAATATATTAGATTTTGAACATAATTTTGTAATTTATTATTTGTAAACTATCGGTCGTTGAAAGGACACATTGCTCAATACATTTCACCACCTAATCACACGTAAGCAATGCATCAATTTCAATGTGACGAATACATATTATTATCATTCCTAAATTGCTACTCTTGCAAAGATAGTGATCATGAAATCCACTTAGCCATTGTGGAAGATACTGTAGTAAATTGTGTGATAAAGGGCAGCTGTGTGTGTTACTGTTTTATTGCTATATTGTTATTTAAATTGTATATTTATGTTTTAGTTGTGGGCACCATGGGGTGCCAGTTTGTTAGCCGCCCTGAGTCCCTCTGCGAAGGTTGAGATGGGACAGGATACAAATGTCAGAAATAAATAAATAATAAATAAATAAATACAATGGCATAGTAAAATGGTGTCCCTTATATAAAATGGAAAAATCAAGATTTATCTTTTTTGGATTTTCCCTTTCAGAATAGTTTCAAGGCATGTATGGTTGAATCCATGATACAGAGGGCAGACTATATACAGCAATATGTTAATGAATTTTCAAGAAAAGCCCAGTCATTTTCACCATAACAACCTTCATACAGGTTTAAAGGCAGACATTTTCCAAAACATTTCAAGAGAATTGTAACCAGAGTTCGCTTACTTTTGCAGACAAATGCATCAATATATATAGTCAATGTACAAGACTGTAAAATTAAAGCAGCAAGCAACTCACCCAGTTGGCCAGATAATCTCATTGTGAAGCACACAAATCTGGTGCATTTTTCTTCCACACTCTATACATTCAACAAATCTGGAAGAACAAAACATAAACAACATAGGATAGTGTCAAAAGTAACAGGATATTTTAAAAGTTTCACTGTGAGACTTATTCCTACAGACTAGAAACTAGATATCTCCCCTATCGATCAATTGTACATACTTCTTAAATGAAGACAGAGGTAAAATTCCTTAACAGCTACCTAACAAATGCACTGCAATTATTTCATGTATGAATTTTAAAACAGTGCTTTCCCTTATAGGTCACTTCAGAAGGTACCCAGGTCAATTCATGCATACATAAAAATGGAGGCATTGTTTGGGAATACTTTTTAGGCAGAAAATGTTTTCTTCATCAAATAATGTAAATCCCATCTTTAAGATAGTAGGCTATGAGAAGGAAGTTAGACCCTAAATGGAAAGGTACCTACAGTGATAAGACTACTGGAAAAGGATTCTTCAAAGTGATTTACACACACACACACACACACATATGGGATAATATGTGTATTACTTACTGTTCGGGATCCAGTGTGTCATTTTTTCTTTTTGAAAATTGATCTTTATTTATTGTTCTGGGGAAAGAAACAAACAGGTTTCATTATGACAAGAATTTTTTAAAAAACATCTAAATGTCTGCAGCAGATTTCTGTATATTTCAAAGGAACATTCCAAGCATATGCTTCTTCATAATGGTTTAGAAAAAAGGGAACACAGAAAAAAACAAGAAGACAAAACATCATCAACCAGTATTAATGTGATTTTTCTGTCCAGCTAGCCACAGAAGTAAAGAAAACTTTCAAGGAACATTGCAACAGGATTTAAATAAAGTTCAAAAAGCCTGAAACACACTATTCTTAAATTGACACTGCTATTCCTTTGAAAATGATTCAAAACCCAGATCTAGAGAGCACAATATATTGTGACCAGAGCTATTTTTTTTTCTTCATGAGGCAAAAGAGGCACAAACATTTGTACACATCTATCATATAACTTCTGGCAATCCAAATCCACCCTCTGTCAGCAGCATATAAGGGTAAGGAGGCCTCTCTCTGCTGTATTCTATGATGTGAATTAATTTCAATAATGCATTATTGTAGGGCAGCCTTTTAAGGCCATTCAGAAGCTTCATCACTCGTTTTACTATTTATTAGTAATAAAAAGGTTTATCAATCTACATTTAAAATTGTAACACAACTCTAATATTGGCATGGGCAATATAAGGATAGGAACAGAGGAAGTTTCCAATTTAGCCAGCCTTTCGATGACTCTTTTGAGTGGAATGTTGTAGCCTTACATAGAGACACCAAGTAATGAAACTAGAGCATCCTGTATGAAAAGCAAACATTCAACCCTTGGTCTAATGTCTCCTTCTTTGGTCTGGGTCTCCAAACTAGTCTTGCATCATGAGGTGGGCAAACATCAACCTGCTTTGATCTAGCTTGGTAGATGCACCATGTGGCTTCAGACAACTAAACAATTTGCTTCTAAGTTCAATTCAAAGTGCTTAAAAGAAACATGTTCTCTGACACAGGATTGCGTCCTCTCTGAGATCTGCTTTTGAAGCTCTTTGTCATACTGATAGAAAAGCCCATAGGTTGCATGTAGTCCTCAAGGTGATTTTTAAAGAAATCTTCTCCCATACTATCTAGTGGTTGGAATTCTGAAATGGCTTTCCCCTCCTCCCTGTTGCTGGATCCAGGAAAGACCTTTTTAAAATTAGGAAGCAAACAAATCCACTGGCTAGAAAGAGATTTTCTTGTTCTCAAACAACTCTGACCATGGATGCAACAAAATTACTCCCTATGACACAAGGTGCATAGGAAACTTTTTAGAACAAAATATCACCCCTATTTTTTTAATGTTTGTGCATTAGGAGTGTGTGGCTCATGAAGGAACCAATGCGGCCCTCCAACCAATGGCAATTGTTAAGCCTCTTTCCAAGACTAAGTGGATAAAAACAAAGGAGCGAGGTTTTTATCAATGGTATTTCATATCTGAAAGATTCCTATGGGTGGATTTATGAGTCAGATACCTCTATCATTATTTAAGTACCAGAGTAGGGCTTTTTTGTCATGGTGAAATTGAATTGTTGGTGTGTTTTAATATTAGCCAATTTAATCTGGTCAATAGCTTACTGTTTAATTGGTTGACTGTGGTTTTATTTAGACATTACATTTTGTTCTTAATTTTTAACATTGTTTTGGTGGTTTTTTTTGTTGAAGAACCTCAAATTAATTTATCAGAATGGAATACCAGAGGGCCCCCTCCCATGCAATGGGAGCCTCAGAAGACAGGCTACAATTATCCCAATGAACTGAAATATGGCATGTGACTCTAAGGCTACATTACTTCTAGGGACAGTGGCCTAGATATGGAATTATCTAGAAAATCTGGACTGGTTAAAATTCTTATGTTTTTTAGAAAGCTGGCGCACATCATTTTATTTAGAGTGCACATGCCATTCCACAAGAATAACTGATTTAAAAATTAGCTTTGTTAAAATCACGTGCATTTCATTGAAAATGTTTTAAAGAGGATTTAACTACATGGGGTATAGATTTAGTACAGAAAGGCCATTTTATAATGTAACAGATTAAAATAAATTATCTAATTGCCTGTATAAAACAACATGTCAAATATTAACATTCTGTTTGATATGGCAAAGTATAATATTCAACAACAACAACAACAAAACTATATTACGGTCCATGGACCCACAGCTGTTAAGTAAATAACATACAGGAGTTTACAGATCCCTCATAACCGGGGAAACAGACTATACAGACACATACTACACAGTGTCAGGTAATACTCTGATCAGAGACTAGGCTCATTCTCAGTCTAATATTAATCAGACATAGCTTTAGGAATTAATTTTATATCATTCATATTTTTTATTTACTATTTAGATATTTCCCAAATTAACTGGGATAATCATTACATTTGAATGAAGTGGTATTTCTTATTCTCCCAAAAATACAGCCCAATGTTTTAAAGCAATGAGCTTTTTTCTGTATTTTTCAACAAATGCCTTTCTTTTGATTCCTCCTGCAACTGCCACAAAGTATTAACATTATGTTACATCTTATTCTAAGTGGCTTATATTTTCTTTCAAACTGTGGCATTTCTACTATGATGAGGCTAATCATACAATGACTGGGGGTGAGGGTAACATAGCTACTCACGTTTGTGGTTGTGATGGGTCATCCCCCAAAGCAACGCTCTCCCCTTGGATTTCGTTGAAGCACTTCTCACAGAAATGATACCTGTCGGCAAGAAGGCCATATTTGGGTGAACTGTTCCGTCCACACAACACAGCCCAAGCCAAGCAACGGAGTCACCAATCACATCAGGCCAAGGAGGGGGGCGGGAGCAGAGAGCAGGTCATCAACGGCGACAGGGACATTCAATGATGAAGATTTATGGGACCCAGAGTTTGTGTTTGGTTGGTTTTTTTTGGTTTGTTTGTTTTGGTTTGGTTTTTTTGCAATCAAAGCCAAGTGCAGACAACGACAAGCATGAAGGAGAAATAAAAAAACAATACACAAACACAAACAAAGAAATGGGGGTTTGCAGGACGAAAAACAAAAACACAGAATCAAGACAGGACAACACAAAGCAGAAAGCCAAGGCAAAGCACAGATTAGCATTAAATCTCTCAAATGGGATCACAAGCAGCAAATTATAGCAAATAAAGTGAATTCAATTTCAGTTCTCCTCATTTCAATAATCAATGCTACATAAAGCAAAGAATGAAAATGAAGAAGAAAAGGGGCAAGAGGAATTGCTGCCCTGACACTTGCACCAGGGTAGCAATTTTTTCATAAAGACATCTGCCAGGAGAAGGCTAAAAAGAAGCAAGAAGAACTGATCTTCAGAATAGGTAGACAGAGCACTGTCTTTCCCTCCTGAAATGTTTGTCTGCAATATATGTTTAAAGCAGTAATTATAATCTGAAATACAAAGGACTACTGCACAAGTATGCTTTCAATATGTGAAATGATAACGTCCATTAATTTGTTGAGATATTAAAAGGATTGCATCTTTATTGGGATTAAATTTGAGTGTTTTTTCTTAATGTTTTTAACCCTCAGAATGTACAGAAACTTCAGCCTTTTCACTGATAGGTAAGTTAATTTGAGCGCACAAACACAACAAAGGGGAACAAAAACAAAAACAAAATTGCGACAGTATCTTAAAGCAAAAGAAAACCAACACTATGGGAAATATAGTTGCTAAGGAATTGATCACTTCCTTATGGATCCCCCTTTTTCCAGGGCATAATATAATGTTACTTGTATACACTGATGGAATGATAGAAATGCCAATACATTCAAAAGGACAGGATCTAGATAAGGACACCAATATCATCTGTCTAGTGAGTTTGGCTTACACAGAAAATTGTTTGTGATATGACTTGATTAATTATCAAAGGTCTCAGGAAAAATGCCCAACATCTTGACCATACTTATAGCAGCTCTTTAGATATATACATATCAACTCAGTATTTCTGGAAAAACTAAAAACAATGGGTTTCAAGTAGATGTTATTGTATGCCTTCATGTTATTTCCATCTTATGGTGATGCTCAACTGAATCTATTACAGAAGTGGTTCTCAACTTATGGGCCTCCAGGTGTTTTTGACTACAACTCCCAGAAATCCCAGCCAGTTTACCAACTGTTAGAATTTGTGGGAATTGAAGGCCAAAACATCTGGGGACCCATAGGTTGAGGACCACTGTATTACAGGATCGTATTTTCAAGATTTGTTCAGTGGGGACTGTCTTAGCTTACTTTCTTTGGGGCTGAGAGAATGTGACCCACCCAAGGTCATCCAGTTGGATTCCATGATTGAGCAGAGATTTGAGCTCTGGTCTCCAGAGTCACAGCCCAATACTCAAACCATTATATATATACTGGCTCTCTGAAGCAGCAGTTACACAAATAATATAAAATTTGAAGCTCACTTTTTAAAGATAGAAAACTCAATTTCCCCTTTCAGATTCTCACTAAAATAATATGCTTTGCAGTAAGGACAAAAATATAAAGGGGTACAAAATGGATAGAATATCTCCTAATCTTACGTCTTCTCAATAGACATATGAATACATTTTTCTAATCAGATATTTGTTGATATGGAAGCATAAAACTAAATTTCTTCTGTGGGGAAAGATTTAATTATGTCTCAATAATTAAAGATCCCAGGCGCATGCACAGACTACCACAGAGATTCTAACTTTTAAAAATGGAGAAGAATGCCAACTCAAGAAGATCTATGCCCCAATCAGTAAACATGCTGCTTTTTAATTCGCCTATTAAACATAACGTTCCAACCATTATAGCTGTGGACAAGACAACTGAATGAATATGAACAGAAAAAAAAACACCTGGGGGCGGGGGGACTGAAGCCAAAAAGACAGTGACATCAAAATGCAGGCATGCACGCTTTATGCTGTTTTGGCAAAGAGTAAAAAGGATAAAAAGTTTGTTGCAACAGCATATATATGCAAAAGCATATATATATATATATATATATATATATATATATATATATATATATATATATATATATATATAAAACACATTTTAAATGTTTTAATTGTTTTTATAATTGTTTTAACTGTATTTTGATAATTGTTATGGCATCGAATTGCTGCCGACTGTGAACTGCCTTCAGTCGCCTCTGGCTGAGAAAGGCAGTATATAAATGCGGTAAATAAATACATAATAAATAAAGGATTTATATAAATATCCTAATTTATTGAAATAGCGGGGGGGGGGGGGTGCTGTTGCTATGGCAAGGCTGCTACAAGTTTAAGAGGGTGCCTGTCTCCATATACCACAATTTTTACAACAGACACAAAGCAGTACCAAAATGCATTCTTACCTGTTTTGGTAACTGTAATATGTAGCATCCCTTGGGATTGTGCATAACTGTTTTCCATAGCAACATAATGTCTGTGGTGAAAACTCCAACTGCAAAGAAAGGGGAAATGGGGAACAGGTTGTTTACTGATATCCAAGGAGCTTTGGTGATCAGAATGTAGTCTGAACTCAAAGGGACCGACCATATCCTGTGGGTCATGTGGCCCAGGTGAGCTCTGAACCAAAAGTTTCAACAGACTTAATACTAGAAGGTCCTGAATATTGCTTTGTGCAGGAACTATATGTTATCTTAAGAAGTACGGTGGTTAAGAGGCGATAAATACAGGAGTCTGTATTAAGATCATGAATTAAGAGTTCTCAAATTGTCAGAATATATTTACAGTCTAAGACATAATAAACTGTGTTTTCGTAATTCATGATCAACATTGCTTACATATAGAAACAGCTCATGGTCTCACGGAATATTCTGTGGGGCTAATTAATGCATCAAATACTAATACATTCAATGTTTTCCAACTCGCCTCCAAAATGATTTAGAAGCACTGACTTAAGTAATACATAAATATATATGGACAAATCAGAGATAACAAACTTCTCATGCCCTAGAGGACTTGTTTGAACGCAATTAACACAGTCTAGTGGATGGAACATGCAGTCAGTTCTCAAATAAGCAGCAAACATTAGATAACTTCAGAATACAATTTCAATAATGCATACTGATCTATAAGCATCAAAAACCTTTGTGTTCATTATCCAAGTGTTGATTTGAATTTGTACAACAGTTTATCCCAGAATCAATGTCAGATCAGGATGGGGGGGGGGGGGGGGGGGGGGGGGGGGAGGTCAAATTTTTCTAGGTTATCATATTTGATACCCACAGTCTGCTCAAAATTGTCAGAAGAATTTTTAAAATAAGGCACTCAATTATTTTGACAACTAGTATAATTTCCTGACATAAAACCAAGAAAGTCCTCCTCACCTTTCGTCCACAGCAATATCCAAGGCTCTGCATAACTGGATCAATTTCCTGCTCAAAAACCTCTGCCAACTTGGAACAGTACTTATACACTCTAGATGTTTTGCGGTTGTAAAGCCAGGCATTATTGAACATAAGCCAAATGTCATCAACATATTGCCAGGGCTCCTGATACTGTCCTGTGTCAAGCTTCCTCTTGATGGTAGAAAGATCCATGGGGTTCTTCACTATATCAAAATAATCCTGAGCAAAAAAAGGTAACACAATTTAGAATTCTAAATCCTTGGTTGAAGGTCTGGGATCTCATTTTCTTCCAGTTGAAGCTCCCAACATTTGCCTAGCAAACATTACTAAATTAAATCTTGAGAAATTGTCTGCTCATCCCAAAAATTAACTGTAATGAAACTTGCTTCTAGCCAGTCAATGAGAATGACCAATTCTAAACTACTAATTTCCAAACAGAAATAACATAATCTTGTTCTGAAAGAGATTTGTCATGGTTTCTCACAGATATTGTAATACAGAAAGAAAATAAGAGCTATATGACTCTCTAGATATGCACAATATCTGCTTTATATTAGGATAAATCAAATTCTTTTATTGTACACTTACAGGAATTCCTAGTAACTGGGGATCCACAGGCTGCCTGAAGGGAAGGGACTCAGGATCCTGACGGTAAAGTGCCTCTAAAGTTGGCATAAGTGCCTGCCTCAACTCTTCTGGCTTGAAAACTTTAAAAAAGAAAGACAAAGAATTTTAAAGTAATTAACTGAATTAGGAATATGTTATCACATAAAAACAGTACTTCTTGCAATGTCTTCAAGCAATTTCCAATGCTAGATGTAGTCCTAACTTGTAAAAGTCAGTCAGAAGTGTGTTATAATAATACAGGTAATCTAATACAATTTACTGAAGGACTAATATATACAGTAATTATCCAGCTATGCTGATATTGAACAGCAAATTTCACAGGACTACCTTCCAAATAAGGTTTCACTAGCCAAAAAAGCAGCATTCTACATAAAATTTGTTACTAAAATATTACATAGAGGTTCAAGTTTCTGAACTTGATGGAATTACTTGGCTTCTGTAAGTTGCTGGTCGGAGGAGTTTAACTTACTTTTCCTCTTTGACTGTCCTGACGCTGGTGAAGATTGAGTACCTGGAGTACTCGGTCTTTCCTCTTCCTCCTTCACCTCTTGCTTCACTTCTGGTTTCTTTTCTTCTTGCTCTGTTGGTTCAGGTTTATATTCTTCTACCATGGATTCTACTTTAACCTGGAATCAGATAGTAAGAGCTTTAGAAGGAATTTATTTAATAACAAAATGCTGTGTAGTAGGGAAGGGTAATGTGCAGTCTGCAGACCATATATAATATCAGCCTACAGGATATGAAAGTCCCCACTTATCAATTACAAATGCAGCAACATGTTCTTGCCATTCTATATTATCAAAGAAGGAGCTATGTTAGTTTCTTGAAACATAAAAAGGATAAATTAAAGGGGATAAAAAACAGGGCAATTCCTCTAAGATTAACTTTTTAACATTTTTATATGAGCTTTTATGAATATAAACCCATTATTTGGGCTCAAGCATTGAGTAGTATTAAGGCTTTGGGTATCAAACATATTTATACAGTTGTGGAAATGAGACAGAATGTAACAGAATGCAGAAAGTTGCAAACCATGACTCTTGCTCTAAATTTTCAATGGTCTGCATAAGATAGTAGAGATCTTTTTTATTTTTAGTGCTGATGTGTGAAAGAAATAAATTTGCTTATCAATAGTCGGTTTCCACGGGTTCAAATCCATGAAATTCATATAAAAATAAAAACCAGTTTGTCTTAAAGCTGCTAATATATTGCTATAATATCATTTGCTGTTGGAATTTTAGCAGCAAACCATGGCTAAAGTAATGGTGGTGCTGCTGCTCCTTCTTTAAAAAAATATATGCGGAAAAAGCAAAAATGCCACTGTCATCAACAGCTGATTCTGCTGTACATGGTTGGCTGTTTCTCACTCTGCTTTTAGTCAAGTTCTATGGGAAGAATACTTATCTAAAAGAATTGCCTCTGCTTCAGCACAGGCAATTTTCTAGGCCTCCTCTAGCACTCTCAGAGAGTTTAAAGACCTAAAGCCAAAATGTAAGAAACAGCCAGAACTATATTGCAATTATTGCTGCTGGCAGAGAGGACGGAATATAGTCATTTTGCCTTCTTCAAGGGGTAAGGTGGGGTGAGTTCTTTCCCACATCTTCATCTGTGTTGTTATCCTCCCTTGATGAAACAAGGATAGGGAAGACACTAGTGCATGGTAGAATTGGGCCCCTTTCTCCTTTCGCTGCAATGAAACTTACCATATAATCATTGTTGGAAAATTTGACAAATCAAAAATATCAGTTTCTTATATCCTCAAATTAAACTGTGCATTTTTAATACTGAGTCATATAACATGACCACCAAACATACAACTTTGAAGTCCTTTGCAAACTTTCTTGATCTACAAGTCAGAATGGTAGCAGATGGATTGCTGGATCTGGATAAACCTTGATTAAAACTCATGCTCAGGTATGACATAATTAGCCTTGAACTATTTATGCTCCCTTTACTGTACTGTGGATGAAATACATCATGCTGAGCTTTTGGATGTGTAACAGGATCAAATGTAATAAAACAAAATAATAATCACTAGATCAATCCACTGTGCATTCCACAAACTCACCTCTGGTTTTTCTTCCATTTGCAGATCTGTCTGTTCTGACTCCTCCTCTTCCATTTTAACTTCCATTTTGATTTCAGGCATAGGTTGTTGTTGTTGTTGCTGCTGCTGCTGCTCAGGAGCAGCCTGTTGAGAGTTGACATCTGCACTGCTGGCAGATGGTGGGTTTGATACTTGCCCATCAATATTTGCGCCTGCCTGTGAAAGCTAAACAGAAAACCCAACATTTTAGATATACTGGGGTTTGAGATCTTGTAAAAATTGCATTTTTTAAAAAAAATTGCTTCATCTTGTGTTTGTGTATTGTTGTTGTTGTTGTTGTTTTATTATTATTATTATTATTATTATTATTATTATTATTATTATTATTATTATTATCCTACTTTTTCTCCCTAAAAAGAAACTCAAAACAGTTTACAGTCAACGAATATAATACAATTGAAAACTTAAAAGTATGAAAATATTAAACTAGAATTAAATATTAACAATATTAAAAGTAAAGATGTAAAAGCCTTAAAACAGATTAAAAATATACTCATAGCTAAAACCACAGCACCCCCTGTTCATATACTCAGTACTATATACATTACTTTGAAATGTTGCTTGCTGAAGAAAGTACAAGTGCTAAAGTTCTGTGTTCTGTTTTGCTCATCCACAAAATCATTGGCATTAAAGTAACAGAAAAGAATTTAGCCATTTATATTGTGTACCCCAAAAAAATCACAGAAGCATTTCAAACTCAGTAACAGCTATGTCTCCTTACAGGTGTTGTAGGATGCTGAGACTGCAGTGCTGCTGTTGGGGTGGGTACAGATGCAGTGGTGCTCTGCTGTGAAAGAGGCTGTTGTGGCAGCTGCTGCTCTGCTGAAGGGGTCACAGAGACTGGAGGCTGCACTTGTGGAGTCAACTGAGTCTGGGGAGGCGTTGGAGTTTGTCTCTGGGGAGGATGCATAGTTTGAGGCTGTGGTCCAGATGCCATTGCTTGAGACACTGTGGCAGGAGCAGAAGCAATTGTCGCTTGTGGTGGTGCTGGTGGCTGTTGCTGTTGTTGCTGCTGCTGCTGTTGCTGGGGTATCAGACCTGGGGGTGTATGGTGAGGTGTAGGAGTACGACTTGGTACTGGAGAAGGAGAGTTTCTATGCAAAGTAGACTGTGGAACAGGGGGGCAATGAATATGGCTCCCTTGGGAACCTGAAGCCACAGCAGGAGAAGTCACAGGACAAGAAGAGCTGGTCATTTGTGCCTGTACAGAAGAAATTACAACTATTGGTTTCTGAATTCATTCAACATTCGATTCGAAATTCACTTTAACAACTCACAGTATTATCAGTTTTCCATCCCACCTTGTATTTCTGATTTGGTGGTAGTATACTTGGAGAATGTGTAGAGTTCTGGTTCTCTACCATCCACTCAAAGCTCTCTAGCTGCTGATTGCTATTTGAGACGAAAGTGTGAACAACTTTGAAGACATTCTCCAATGAGAATATGAAGAATTAGGAGGAAGGTGGTCCCCTTAATTACTTAATGATGTCACTATCTATTTCCTTTTTATGAAATCCAAACATACAGAGAAAACGCCATTCCAAAAGTCTACCAGTGGCACTTCAGTCAACATACTTGAGAAGTTGGAGTCTGACTGCCAGGTTGAGTCATAGGCGTGTTTGTTGGATTCATGCCAGGTGACAATGCAGGAAACTGGTTCTGCTGCAGAAACTGACTTTGATTGGAAGGCTGTCCAACCCCTTGCTGTTGCATACGTGGGGAAAATCCCATCTGTAAGAAAATATGTACAATGAAGTAATGGAATACTGTGCCATTTGCTTGTATCTGTTTAATACTCAAATAGTTCAGATTGCTCTGACATTGAAAGGCCATCACAATATAGTCCATTTACTGCAACCCCTGACATTGAAAGGCCATCACAATATAGTCCATTTACTGCAACCCCATCCCCTTTCTCACATCTGCAAATCAATTTGTTCAAACTATCAGTACAAGAGGCCTAAGTGGGACTCCCTTCCTATTATGATCCCAACAACTCAGTAAATCCACTCTTTGAAGATTTCCTACACACCTTATTCATAGGAACCTAAAGCAGAACTGAATAAAAGGAGAAATTGACTCTATACACAGAAACACTTTGGACATCACAACTCACTGAAGATCAACTGACCTGGCTCATGGTCCCTGTCTGGCTTAGTTGTGCAGGGTGCTGAAGGGGAGGAGTTTGCCGGGGTCCAACTGATGGCATCTGCATGTTCATTGAGCCAAACTGATTCATTCCTGCAAGTTCACATGTTAAAACAAAGTCACTAGAATGTTTGTGTCATGCCACACACAGATTCATGTGTGAGAGAGAAAAGAGAAGAATGTTATAAAATGGGTAACACAGAAGAGATGAAGGACATCAAGTGAAAGAAGTATTGATATTAGGTAGAAAGAAATACATAAGAGACATTGATTAAGTAGATATAACTAGGATTATTAATTTATGAAAAGTACTTATGAAATACAGTGAGAATGCAAGGAGAGTTTAAGAGAGACACAATTTAGTGAAATGTCAGAAGAGAATGCTTCTGGAACAAGGCCAGAACAGCCCGGAAAACTCACAGTAACCCAATAATTGGATGGATTGGGGCAGCAGAGAATGGTCAAACTGACTGGCAGTTAAAGTATGATTGAGCATTGGCATGAGCAAAATGTGATTTCAATCAAATATTTTTTAGAAAAGACTATTCAGGGAATAAAAGCTGGTTTCTTTTCTGTCAGGAACGCATATCTGCTCCACAAATTGTGTTGAATTTAGCTGCATCTAAATAGCAACCATTTCTTTCATAAATCAAGAGATCATTATTTAAGAAAATCCAAAGTGCAATTATTGTTGTGAAACACATCACAAACCCATTATTTAAAAACTGAGTGGGATAGAAAGGACTAATTTAATCTTCAGTTTCTCTTTTGCATTCTCCAGAGGAAACAGAAGATGAAAGTCCTGTTCATCTAAGTTGCTTTGGCTCTTTTTCTCTGAATTCTTACCTGGTGGTGTCTGCATGCGACTCATCTGGTTTGGCACATTGGCACGGATCATATTTGGGTCAGGAAGAGGACCATCTGTAATTAGGTGAAAAAGCCAGTGTTATAAAAAAAATCTACATTTCTAATACTTTATTAATCAAAACAATAATTGTAGTGTCTTAATCCTAAGAGATAGTTGTATAAGAAAATATTTTAAAATGTCCTTAAAAATGTATCATTTGCTCTAAGATTATGCTTTTATCTATATCTATATCTATGTATATAATAAAGGTGAAAGTTTGTATGCGGCGGACAAAAGTGTGGCGGTGCG